CTGCTGATGAACACTGGTCAGCTTTACTTTGACCACTGACTTAGTCTCCAGCCCTGGCCAGGAGTTTGACTTTAAAAAAGAGATATAGAGGCACCTGGGTGGCTCAGTCAGGTAAGTGTCTGCCCTCAGCTCAGGTCGTGATCCTCTCCTCTGCCTGCTGCTCCCTCTGCTTGTGCTCTCATTCTCTCTCTCTCTCTCTGTCAAAAAAATAAGTAAATCTTAAAAAAAAAAAGATCTAAATGGAATGCCTTTACATCAGTATTCTTTCCAGTCTTTCTGCGTGCTCCTTTGAGCTCTCTAGAGACCCTTGACTTGCTCCCCTACTCTCCAGATTGTGTCCAGGGGGCTCCTATTAGGGCAGCACAGATGAGAACAAACCCCTTTTCCTTCTTGTGCTATGTGTTCTTGGGAAAAGCCTTTAATTTTCATTACTTGCATTTTCTTAATTGCAAAACGGAAATAGCACTAGTATCTACCTCATGGGCATGTATTGTAACCTATAGAGACTTAGAACAACACATGGCCTTGGTACATAGTAAGCACCCAATGGGTATTTGCTGTTATCGTTCAACCACATAGAAGGCAGTGTGCTGGGCATCATGAAGGTAAGAGATGAACACATCACCGTTGTAGCTTCTGTCTTGGAGGAGATTACTAGAAGACATGCCTATCACCCAAATGCAAGGCAGCACATGATATGTTTTTTGACAAAAATCTGACTGTAGTGATTCTTTGTTAACATGACTCCAGCTAATGTTGGAAGCCCTAACATTCTGGAGATTCTGCTCAGAGCCTTGGATTAAAGGTCTGATGGCTTCAACTCACTGGGTTTATTCTTCAGCTTTATACTTAGTGTTTGGGAGGAATTGCTTCTTTTTCCAGGGGATATTCCCGGTGAGGTTACCTCCTATTGTGAGTTAGCTGGGCCCTCCTCTTGGTTCCTGTTTTCCAACTTGGCTGCATCCTGAGATTCCTGGGTTTCCCCCCACCACCTTGGGCAGTTCTAATCAATATAATATTGCTGGTTCTTGGGTTAATGTGGTACCATTTGATCTTCCAAGCCCAGTTTTACACTATACTGTCTGCTTAGACTCATAGTCAAGGCTGTAATCCTACTGAAGTTTTATAAATGTTTCATTCAGTATGAAACTACTTTCAACCATTTCTGATACAAATCATATTTAGACTAGGAAGAAAGGAACAATTCATTCTGCTGGATAACACAAAATGAACCAACATCCCTATAAATAATAACAGCAACAAAAATATTTATCTTTTTGATATGTGAAATCTCATCTTTTCATGATTCTAGGATTATCTTATTTTTTTTCCCCTGGAAGCCCTAATATTCTAGAGATTCATAAATGATAATTAATGCTTCAGATATATAATTGATATGCCTCATATCATAGCAGTATTCCAACATTCATTTACTAAGTCTCTACTTCATTAACAGTTTATTCATGAGACTGATTTAATTTGACTTTGTACAAAATTTTACATAGTACACTAAAAATTTTTTTAAAATCTATAATAACTACTGCTTAATTTTGTGCTCCATTAAGCAATAATGTTAGTACAGAAGTGTGTTAAAAGTTAGAAAATGTAATAGTTTATCTTCACAGCAGCATGTTCTATTAGAACTCCATTTTTTCCTTCCCAGACATTTATTATACATGTAACAGAAATGATAAAATGGCTTCATTAGCACAAGGATATTTTTAAGCAATGGGAAGAATGAATGTTAGAAAATGAGAAACAGTGCTATCAGAGATGCTTAACATAAAACTCTGTACACCTTAAATTTCTTTAACAGCTAGGATAGTTCATTGAAAATTACCAGAATGGTAGGCCGCGTGAGTTTTTAATATTCGTCTTTAAATACAAACACCTAGAAATAAAACCTATTGCTATAGAGAGCCAAATTAATGTTTTCTTTTTCCTTTTTAAGTGCACATAAAGTCCAGACTTAGAGTAAATGGACAGCATGATCTTCTGACTAGGTTAACTCATGTAATCATTACTTCAGTACTGCTTAATTGAGCAAATATTATCGGTTAGATGCTGTGGTAGCAATAAGTGGTAGCAATAAGTTGTGATTCTAGTGATTTAAGACATGACAGAATATACAGTATACTTAGGGAGCTACTATAAGCAGCAGTTTCATTAATGGCAAGAAGGTGTTTTGTTTTGTTTTTAGCACTGAGCTTTTTATTCAGTATCTGTTAAACACTTTACAAACCACACTTGTGTATAATAGAGAATCTCTAGGTACCTATGATCAAAAACAAAGATAAATATGGATATATATCATATTCAACTTAGTCACATTCAAAGAAAGAAATCCCACAAACTATTATTATCATTATAGGGATGATAATGGATTTGTTGGAAGTATCTTCTATCTAATATTTAATTATTTTGTATTATAATTTATCTTGAGTACATTATGTGATTGTATTATTATTGTTACTCTAACTGGAGATAAAAACTAACTAAGCTATTAAACGGAAGTACATGTACCTGTAACTGTGGCTTTCAGAACAAACCCATATATAGTTTTAAATAATTTTAGAGGCACATTTTAAATGTAAAGAATGAAAATAATGACTCAAGTCTTTTTGTTTTTTTTAAAGATTTTATTTATTTATTTGACAGATCACAAGTAGGCGGAGAGGCAGGCAGAGAAAGGAGGAAGCAGGCTCCCCGCTGAGTAGAGAGACTGATGCTGGGCTCAATCCCAGGACCCTGGGATCATGACCCGAGCCGAAGGCAGAGGCTTAACCGACTGAGCCGCCCAAGTGCCCCTAAATGTAAAGAATGAAAATAATGACTCAAGTCTTATAGGTTTTATAAATATGCAGAATACTATGAAGAAGAGTCAAAGTTGCATAAACTTTCAGACACATTAAGTTTTTAGTATTGCCTCTTTTCCTTTAGGAAAGGAAAATACAGAAGAAAATAATAACTGGTCATCTCTGGAATATTATTATTTGATGATTTAGAACTTACTAAAGCAAATGAAAAGTTTTTTGAAAAGCTATCTTAAGAGTAATTTTGTCTCCCATTCCATAATGAACATTCACCAAGCTTTATACCTTCACCCAGTACTTTTTCTTTTCTTATTTTTAAAGATTTTATTTATTTACAAATAAATATATTTGACAGAGAAAGAGACACAGCAAGAGAGGGAACACAAGCAGGGAGAGGGGGAGGCAGGCTTTCCGCTGAGCAGGGAGCCCAGGGTGGGGCTTAATCCCAGAACCCTAGGACCCTAGGACCATGACCTGAGCCAAAGGCAGATGCTTAACAACTGAGTCACCCAGGCGCCCCCATCCAGTACTTTTTCAAATGACCAATGCCTTCTAAACTTCTGAGAAGACTGACAGTGTAATTGGAATGGTTACACTGTGGATTGAGAGCAGGGGCTGTGAAATGGATGTCCCACCTGTGCCACTTAAGTCTTGGGCAAGTCACTCTTTATATGTCCCTGTTCTTGTCAGTAAACTGAGTTAGTGGTAAAACTCAGACAATACTTGCAAGGATTTTTGCATTAATATAATAGTACACTGTGTAGCACATAGTAAGCAAATGTTAGCTCTCACAAGGTTAAGCTCCAAAGCTGAAATTTCCTTTTAAGATCAAGCCATATCATAAAAGAGGAAAAAATGGCTGATAAATGCATGAGAAAATGGTTCACTTCACTAAAAATCAAGAAATATTAACATGCAGTAACTTTTCTAACTTTTTTTTAAACTGGAAAAAACCTGGCACCTTCACAACATGCAACCATTGTGGAAGGCAGTTTGCCCTGTCCTCGTATACATAAATGTCTTTCTCTTTATTTCTTATTTTAAATAAAGAAAATGTTCTGACATGAAATGGTGCCCATGACCTAATGTGAAATGAAAATACAATTAGCATGATTTCACTTTTGTGGAAAAATGTGAGAAAAAAATACGTGGTTTTTTTGTTTGTTTGTTTGTTTTTGGTGTGTTTGCAAGGGAGCAGTGTGTTTAAAGATACACAGAAAGTTGAAAGGATATGAATAGTTAAAATTAGTTTATTCTGGAGAGTGGAATTGGTGTTGAGAGATAAGGGCTTGGTACACGTCCATATTTTTTTAATTTTGCCAAAAATTTATGTTAAAAACATGTATTGAGGTGAGGAGGACCCTCAGCCAGAGAATTACCGGTTGGGGAATTCTAGCCCCAGAACAGCAGAAATGGATCCCAAAGGTAGTTATATCTACTTATGTAGAGAGCCTTGAAATCCCTGGTTTGGAATGTACTTTGTAGAGTAACTAAATCCAGTTGCTGAGTTGTGGGAAAGTCTTCACTTGAAGATGGAGAATAGACGTGGCTTCTTAGTTGGCAAGGGATCAGTGCTGCCTTCTAGGGACATTTCCAAAAGCCCTAGGTCTGTGTTCACTGGCAAATGCATGGAGCATAAAGAAAATTGGGGTGCTTAACAAAGAAAGTCTAGGTAGCACTCAGCCCAAAAGTGGTATGTATTTTGAAAGGCCACGTCTAGCCCATAAAGGCATGTTTATTGCATTTTAAAAAACAAGCCCTTCCAGAGAGATAAAACCTGCAAACACATACTCTGCAGGCTTGATAGTAATCATCTTCTCTTATTGTTCAGAAAATGTTTCTAAATTGTTTCACACACTTTATCAGATCTTAGTTAATATATAGAGAATTTAAATGAAGAGTTTCATAGAGATTATTTTGTGTAAGAGATATCACTGAATATATTTATGTCATACAGAAAATTGTGTCCTCAGGATCTAGCAATAGAAAGACATGTAGAAAAGAGGACATGTTTAGATCAATGTAAATTGTTATGAGAACTGTTAAGTCTTGTAATGTTTTACAACACCTTGTTTTAGTAATTTTCAAAGTAATCTGTAAACAAAAATCTACATGAATACGGTATAATTCCATTGATGCATATTTTTGTTTTCTTTTCTAATGTCAGTATCTTGTTTGTCTTTACAGAGTTACTGGAGGTGAACTGTTTGAAGACATCGTGGCAAGAGAGTATTACAGTGAAGCCGATGCCAGGTAAGTGACTTGCCCCAGGGGCAAGATACAAGACTTAACATTCAAATGACACTTGTTCAGTATATCTCTTTACAAATGCATCATAACCCTTAGTATTTATGAGACTCTCATAATACCATCTTGGACAACTTCTCATGATGAGTCCCTCTTAATTGCTGTTTCTCTCTCTTAAGGATTTCCAGGATAATTGTTTGGGGAAAACAAAACTAGAATCTGGTCTAAAATAGCATCTACAGTTAGTCTTTTTAAAAATAAATAATAAAATCTGTACTCTACCTGGAAAGATTTCTGCTAAAGAAATTTACTTTTTTAGTGAAGTTAAGAGACCAAAAATTCAGATTTTCTGGTCTAGGTCCTGAGCTGCCCATTATGGCAGCCATTAGTAACACATGGCTATTTCAATTTCAGTTAATTACAATTAAATAAAAAATTTAGCTTCTCAGTTGTACTAGCTATGTTTTGAATGCTGAGTGGCCGTAAATGACTAGTGGCTACCAATTGCACATAGCAGTTACAGAACATTTCCATTATCACAGAAAGCTCCACTGAATAGCCCATGTTTAATCAGAGACCATAAAAAGAAACAGACTACAAAAATCCAGTGGTCTCCTTAAAGCATTATTAGCTGTTTAACTCTTTGGAAATTCCAGGATGGCTTTTGGAAACCTCATGTGAAAAATATTTATTCAGATATTTCAGAGGATTCAAAAGGATTTTCTAGCCTTGTTAACTGGCATCATCTTTACAGAGGTTAACAATGGCTATACATTTTCTCTCATTTGAAACTTCCTAGGCTACACAAAGCCAACATTTTTGGAGTGAAGTGACATTGATTTAATTGCCTAGACATTAGTTAGACTTTTTCATGTTAGTTTTCCTTGGCATTTCTTTGTACATATTCAGTAGTTGGTACTTAATTTGAAAGATCTGGCCTTGAGCTATTGACTCATTATTAACAATGTAAATGAGATGTTGTGAAAATTAGTTACTTACTGTCTGCCCCCATTCTCTAATTCTTTCAGAGCTTCCTAAAGCTTGCTAATCCCACTGTAGCCTGCACTCAGCAGATAGTCAGCTGATAGCAGGTTCCCTCCCCATCCCTTCAAAATAGCATATGCACACACAGGCTCACTTGCAAATCTCTAGTTAATCTTCTTGGTTTTATGCCAGTTTATGACATTCTGTGAATCTTATCTATACATGAGTACAGTCTAATTTTTAATGGAATTTTTATTGTCAAAGTCAAATAGAAACTTCTGTGTCGTTTACACTATCATGAGTGAATCATCACTTGCTCAGTTCACCCCAGTTCCCATGTTAGGGCCTTGAAAAGGAGCTTCATAGTAGCCTTGTGAGTAGCTATTTGCCCACTTGCCCTGAGAGAGTAATAATTTTAATCAAGGTAGTTAATAAGTTAGGGTGTTACATTTATTTTGTTTTTTGAAGTTATGTTAAACAGGTCATTGTGTTTGAAAAGTATTGTTTGAAATTAAAATAGAAACTTTTTTCACTGTTGAAGAGCCCTATAGATAATAGAGGAGACCCTATAGGTTGGATCATTTTATATGCATGTTGATATTAGGTTTTCGAATTCACTAGAAGTGAGTATTTTTTAGGATAGGTCTCAGACAAAATGAAGCAGAAGGAATATTCTCTTCCCAAGAACAAACATAAAGAAGTCTTTCCCTACTAGTCCTCAGGAGCTGAAGAATTGAATCCCTTCTCACCAGTAAAAAATGAAGAAGTTTATTTAATATGAATTATTATGTACTTTATTTTGCATTATTCATTAAGCCTAATGACTTATATCTGTGGTTTGAGAAGAGAAAGTGAAATATTTCTAAAATGTAGTACAAAGTGAAGGAGAAAAAAGTCACAGTATTTAAAAAATAATTACCAACACTCAAATAAGCTCTGTTATCAAAAACCAACCAAGGTTTAGCTCTTTTGGTGGGACTCTATAAAGAGTTAGGGCTGGATAATCATAACCTTGATCGGTTTTTTACATTCACATTGTAAAAAATCAGATGGTGATTACTTTTTATAATTCAAGAATTTACTTTCAAGTAATATTATTTTGTACATTAAATAGTTGAAAATGTCCTTATTAAAATGTTTGCTAATGAATGTAGCTCAGTACATAACATGCATTTGAGTTGCACAAATGTAAATTTATACCAAATGTATCAGTGTGACCTATATTATTTTATGTCAGCTGACAGCTCATGGGACCTTACAGGTGTCAATCAATGATTTATCCCCTCTAATTTAATTAGCTGTCTGACATCAGTGAGCCTTTAATAAGAATAGTATAAATTGTGCTTTTTGACATAGTAGTAAGGAAAGTTTTCCTTCACTGAGGTATATGGAAATATATCTGACAATTACCAGTGTTCCAGGGGATTTAAAAAAATTTTTTTTCCATAAGTGCCTACTCCTTCTCCAGAGTATGCCTGTCCTGAAGAGGGGTTTATTTTATGTCATGGGTTTACTTGAAATTCCCTTCTGTTATTGGAGACTTGCATTAGTTTTCCTCTTACTGTATTCTTCAAGAAGCACCATTTCTAAATCAAAATGATAAATGTGTCCCTCCATTTTTTTTAACCCTTGTTTCACCTGCCACTTCATCTGTGTGTACCCTCTTGTTTCAACACCTATGTTTAATTGTGACCTCAGATTTTAAACAGTTTAGATGTGTATGAGAAATACCCATAAATTTTATATTGCTGAAGAATTTTCCCAGAACATTATGGGAATATTTATAAAATTTTCTCCTTGAGTATGAAAATTTTTACTTCTATATACAAGTGATTTAATTTGTACATTTTCAATGGGAAAAAAAACACAACTCAAATTGTTTTGTCTGAACACGTCACAAACTCTATGTTGGATGTCATTTTTGTTAGAACCAGAATTAGCTTTATTCAGCATTATTAAATTCCAGTGTAAAGCTAAAAAAGATGTTGTGAGAAAATATAATTTTTGTTTGTTTGTTTGTTTCGTTTTAACTTTCATTTTATTTTGTATTCAATGTGATTATGTACCTTTAAAATGTTCTCCCTTCCATTCTGCCCTTGTATCTTTACAGTCATTGTATACAGCAGATTCTAGAAAGTGTAAATCATTGTCACCTAAATGGCATAGTTCACAGGGACCTGAAGGTCAGTATATGGAGTCCATAATCTGAATCAAAGGAGGTTTTTTTGTTTTGTTTTGTTTTGTTTTATCTGGGGAAAGGGCAGAGGGTGGGTATTTAAAATGGTTCCCTTGCCTTTCCCACTTTTTCCCTAAAATGACTACATGATGAAATGATAATGCATGATGCCTCTTTCAGTTTGCTCATCTACAGGCTAAATATACATCATAGCAAAAAGGGAAGGACAATATTAAGAAAACAACCTGTCAAGTTTCCAAGCAGTAAACTACCAGAGGCGGTTTGGGGGCAGGCTTTCCTGAAATGTCCAGCATTTGCCTGGAGATAAACGTGGCCTGTGATGTATGTCCGCCTGTAGATTTAAACACCACTTCTGTTCTGAGACCATGGGTTGCTGTAGCAAAACAACTGGTTACACATTGCTCCATTTGAGTCTGATGAACCCTCAGGCAAGAGATAATAATTGCCAGCTAAATTAAAGCACAAGAAGTTAATGATTTATCAAAAATTCATTACTTACCCTAATTTAACCTTAATAGTGCCTTGACCGCTAACATGACAGCTTTGGAATGATACTAGAAAAATGGGAGGGAATGGGGAAACAGTTTTTTATGTGGGGTGGAGGTGGACCACAACAGCTATAAAAATTTTATTTGCATTCCAGTTCTTTTCCTATAAGAATTCATAACTAGGAAATGAGCTACTGATTTAAATATTTTTAAGATGGCTTTTTTCTAGATCAAGTGGATCCACATTTTCGCGCACATCTGGCAAGATCCTGATTGCTCTGAGGTAGTAGTCACTCTACTTGAGCAATATGTTTACAATACTGAAGGTGGTAAAACACAACCCCAGTTGTCTGCTGGTTTTGCACTTTAACCCGGTCTCTCTCAGGGTGTACAGACAGTGAGTGTAAGCTTGGAACTAACACACGCCCCCTGGTGTTTGCATGCAGTCATTGCATTCAGCAGATCCTGGAGGCTGTGCTACACTGCCATCAGATGGGCGTAGTCCATCGGGACCTGAAGGTGAGTAATGCTGTTGGAGAAGATAAACCACCACACAATTCCTAATGACTGTTCAGCTGCAATTATGCCTGTAAAGGCAAAAATATGAGCAAGAAAGTTGTGTGGACTCATTCCAACACATTACTAAAACACTTTCCCTCACCACAGCCTTATTTCATCTCCCTCATCCACACTTCAGATTTACATAAATTCCATTTCATCCAGAGGAATAATGTCCTACCATTATCAATAAATAGGGTGCTGTATTTCCTTCCTCCTAAGAATATAGCATTTAATGTGACTTTGCGTAAGACTGATGATCTCTTCTTCATTCTAAACCTGTTCTTTGGACATTGATCAAACATACTATTTCAGAGTCATACTGTGTATACCTAATATTATGTAAATAGTTATGGAAATTATAAAGAGAATAGAGACAAAGTTATTAATAGGTTTTTGGCATTAAAGAAGCTCCATTTGGGGCTCTGAAGTCTCTTTTCCTTAATAGTAGTCCCAGGAATTCTGAGGGCCTTGAGACTTCCTGGTTCTTTGTTTATTTACATTCCTAGGTAGCAAGATACCAGTGCCTTTTAAAACAGAAAGGAAGAAAGTAAAACAAATTTTATTATAAAATAATATTTATATAACATATATATGGACTAATATTTTTAAGACTCCACTCAGTTTCTGATACCTTTGAGGATAAGAAATGTTTAGATCATTTAGAAATTAAATAGTTCAGAAGGAGACTACTCTTTCATTCATTTTTCTGTCCCCTTCTCTCAGAGTCTAGTTTCACTCATGGAATTTCAGAGATATAGTGAAGGCCTAAAAATTTAAATGAAACCACTGGGTGGGCAAAGTAGCAAATGTGAGTACTATATAGTTGTCATTCTTTGTTTCAAGCTTCATCCATATTGAGGCGTTAATATACAAAGGTGCCACAAAGGTTGCAATGTCTTCAGCTGTATGTGTTCAGTGGGAAGACCTGGGCTGGTTTCTCATGTGCAGACTTCTCTAATAATGATAAATCTGTAGTTTCCATTCATTTAGTATGCTCTAAAAGAATATATCTCTAAGGATCCATGATAAGTTATTTGAAGATGTGGTTTGTAAGCAAAGCATTGCCTTAGGTTTCTGGAATTTTCCTTTGATTTCAGTTTGAGTCTTAGAGCTTTAAATGTCAAAAGCAAAGATATGGTTAATGGCATTTTTTTTTTTTTTTTTTGGAGAGCCAAGATAAGACTGTGTGCATCTGCTAACACTTTACCAAATGTACTCATCATGATTAAGGGAAAACAATATGTTCCTTTAAAAATTCATGTCTTTGGCAATCACCTCACGAATTCTTTACCAGCCATGTAGAGAGAGAGAGCCCCTTTTTGTTACTTCTCAGAACTCACAGTACTACTTTCCTTTGTAAGTGAATATATATGGGCATGAGTATTTATTACATACTCTATTTAATAAAATCGTCATTTGAAACATTTTACTCTATGTTAAATAATTAGAAGTATACTCTAAAAACGAAGGATGAAAAATGTGAATTCTCTTACATGACCTTTAAGATATATCTTGTGAGGTTATGATATTAGACTTCTGTAAGTGTTCAAACTCAGCTGAGCTCTTCAAAGACTGGAACTTTAATCAGAGATAGCAGTGGGCTAGGATGTGGACTGAGAAGAAGGTCTATTTTCTGATATATGAGCTAAATCGACTAATTAAAAACTGAGGCAGGTGACTTTTAGGGAGGCTAACTACCAAAAGAAATAACCTGCTGAATCACCCATCAGATTTCTTGCAAGGGATAAAAGTGTTTTTGTTCTCCATTCTTATCCTGATTTTAGGAGAGAACAGGGGTGAACTTTTTATAGAGCTAGTTATAATTTTTGTAATTCTTTTGGTTTCTGTCAAATTGCTGACTAGAACAGACTTCAGTTGAGTCTAGTTTTTGGTACATGTTTCAGTAGGCCATTTCATAACACACTAAGAGTATATTAGAGGTATTTTACACACACCCTGAATGTGCTAAATCCTTGGCTTTGTTTTATGTCTTTTATACCCACACATATACTTTATCTGATAAGTATATAGCTTGTGAAAGCATATTTGCCAGTATATTAAAATGAAAATATTGGTAAAATTTCTTATTACCAAGCTTTAAACAAAAATTTGCCCTTATTATTCTTAGGTCATATATTTTGTTTCCCTACCCTGACTTATATGTTAATTCATATAGAATACATATGTTTGGTGCACACTTTAATTTGTCCATATCACTGAGAGAATACCACAGGAAATGTTATGTTCTTCATTATTAAAGCTTTATTACTGTACTGTACCTACTTAGAATACTGTTTTACTCCATGGTATCTAATATAGGACTTAATACCTAGTAAATACTTGTGGCTTATGCTTTCAATTTTGGAATGAATGAAATTCAATCAAAAGCACATTTATAATATAAAAGGCATCACTGAATAAAATAGATTTTTGTGTATGTTAATTAATATTGAATAAAGAGGGCAAGTATCACTCTTTAATACAATGATATCATTAAGATCATTATTTGAATAACTGCCACTCTTGGGAGCTTATTAGACGGTAGAATCCACCAGATGGAAAATTCTAAGAACCTAGAGACAAGGCTGAGGCACAGCAGAAAATTGGATGATGTCCCAGAAACAAGCAATAGGAGAAGGCTCCATGTGGTGGGATATTAGCATAAAGGAAGCCCATCAATCACAACCAGGCAGTATCCAGTGGATACATAGACCTTTCATCTAAGGTGAATCCACTGTCAGATCCAAGCAGTATTACGGAGTGTAGTGGTGACATAATTATAGTACTATAGTTCAGGAATATAACTCTCCTCTTTGGGAGGATTTGGATCAAGGCGGGATGTTAGTAATAAAAATGATAATAGCTACCATTTATCCGGCAGTTACCATGTACCCTGTACTGTGTTATCATACGAATCTTAACAACAGCTTTATGAGGAAGGCACTTTGATCTTCCCCATGTTGCATAAGGAGAGATTTAACAACCATGAGTGAGAGAACTTATTCATGGTTGCTCAGCTAGTAAATTGTGAATTGTGCCCAAGCATTTTGGTTCCAGGATCTGCATACTTAAATGCTACCACATCTCAGCTCATTAGTTGGATAAATCAAAAACTTTAGAAAGGCCAAATAATAGGTCAAACAATGATGGAAAGTAATTTTGCCAGCAACATGAAGAATTGGGAAATGGGTCTAAGTTTAGTGAATCAAATGATTAAAGTGATCCTGCTTATGGATCTTCCAGAGCTGTATAAGATCTGTATTATTAGAAATAAGGAATATGTTTAAGTTATGTTTAAGATACAGTGTGGAGTTGGGGGGGTGCGCAACATAATTTATTAATAGACGTCCAAAGAAAAAAATTCTTATTTAGCAAATTAGTAAGGTGGCATTGATCACAGCCTTTGGAAAATGAGACACAGAGAAGAATGAAATGCATTTGGCACATTTGATTTAGGCCACATCAAGACAATCAGTCTGGAATGCCTAAAAATAGATTGTTTATAAAGAGTAGATTACTGTAACTTAGTCTTGAGTGTTTGTGAGCTGATAATTGAAAATTTAGGTATAAAAAGAGAGGATTAAATGTTCATCAAACATTTCTTAAGCACCTATTGAGGTTCTATCAGAGTTGGTAGGCACAAATTATAGAGCAAAATCAAGACAAACCTCGTGTGGCTAGAACATACAGGCCACGAATTAAAGATCATTTTAAAATATGTATCAGTGCTATTCCTCCCAGAAAAAAGGAGATAGGTCAAACAAAAACTGGTAGTAACAAGTGACAACTCTTGAGGTCACAAGAAATGGAGAGATGTGTTCTGTCATTTAACAGTCTGAAGAATATAGTTTCTGCGAATCAGGGAACAGAAGTAAGTCAAAGGAGACCGTTTTATAGCTCTGCTTTATCATATAAGTATATTTCACACAGAATAGTAAGATTTCTTCGGTTCAAGGTACATCAGAGATGGTTACCAAACTTCATGAACAGCATCTGGATAGAAGGCTTCATACATAAAACAATCTTTTAGCAACACATCAACATCTGTGAATTGTCTCCGCAGAAAATGGTGCTTTTTTTCTTAGCCTACCTCCTGAAAAAACAATATTATTTAATGGAAAAATCATCAGATCAGGGGATGGATGTGAGAGAGAGGAAGAAGAAAGGAAAGAGAGGGAAAGGGCAGAGAGAGAGAGAGAATAGATTTTAATGAGGATAATAATTTTGGAGATGGGGGAAGGGATTTTAAATCTAAATTAAATATAGGAATAAAATTAAAGACCAGAAAGGAGAGAAATTAATTTTCTGGGGGAATATGACATGTATTCAGTAAATCCTCTTTAGTAGTAGATACATTTTGAATAATTATAAAATTGCAATTGTTCCTCTTTTCTCAGAAGTATACTCAGATAAAAGTTTAAAGAACTTATCATTTGTGTATAAAGTATGTCTAGGTATTTTAGATACAAACTGTGTAAGTGATAAATTCCATAATTCATCGGTCATTCTTGTGTTCTTTGTTGAACCTGACAGCTGTGTGTCAGGCCATGGAGAAACAGTAGGTAATTGGCACAGTCCCACTGGTCTGCTTCTTTCAGAGAAGTATTTGCTAATAGTATAGAATTATGTGCTGATAGTATATGCTAATAATGTAGAAGTAAATAAGAAAACAGGAAAGGAAAACAGATGATTCTTAGGAACTTGTTCATGTATGCTTGATGATGAAAATAGTACTTTGTAACCACAGACTTTCAACACATGGCATCAGCTGAGAACTCCGTGTGCTTAGGTACATAAATTCAAGTATCCATTCCATATAAAAATAAAAGCAAAAGTCACTTGTACCATGTGCACAGAAGAACTTCTGCCATGTGCATGAGTGAGCTTGATATTCAAGCTTTCCAATTCATGCACTTTCACTTAGTTTATCTCCAGGAGTGTTGTTCACACCTTCTGTGGCAAAGGAAAAGTGACTGAAAACACACCAAAGCACGGAATGCTTAACTTCGTGTTGAAATAATTGATACTGTCCAGTAGAGGAAAGAAATCTAAAAAGATCATTTCAATTCTTAAAAACAAGTATCTACAGAAATGAAAAGATTAAATAATATAGATTGATAAAACTAATAACTGTTTATGATATTCATTAGAAAGGTATAAAAAAGTAAAACATACATGATTTCACTACACATAAAAATTCCTAATGTTTGAGTTTTGTTGGCTAGATAATCACATATGTGCGCAGATCCTACCTCATTTAGAGACTGAAGGGTTTGAATTATTTTATCTCCTAAGTCATTTCCAGTCCTAAAAGTGATACCAGCAACCTGCCTAGGTACTTTGAGATACTTGGACAGATTCAAGAAAATCTCAAATCACAATGAAAGAAGTTGCTGTTGCATCCATATGGAAGCACAGAACAAAACTTGCCAACAGTTGCTACTCATTACAGCTGATATGCTATAAATGGTTGTTGACACTAAGACCAGATGTCATGGAAAATCCTGCATCATTAGGAAGCAATTGGGTGGGGAAGGAACCTGTGTGTGAGAACATCAATAGAATCTATTTAAAACCCAACCTAAAAAGTGATTGCATTATAGGAATTTAGAGATAATCTCAATATATAAAGATTAGCATAATAGATTGCATTAAATTTAGGAATATAGACATCCCCCAAGTTATGAACATTCGCTGCAAATACTCAGGGTCCTTCACATTGACATGGCCAGCAGCACTGGAGTGTAACAGCTAATCACCAATGTGTATATTGCTCCATACAGAGGACAGAGCTCTGATGATAAAATCCAGTGAGATTTTATAATTTTGTATATACTGTTATGAGAAATATCCTTATAATGCTCATTTGAGAGATGAAAGAACTAATTAGCTCCAATAGTCTATGAGTTACCCATGTCCACACAGTTAATAACAGTTAGTCCTAGGACATAGACCTAGCTCTGCATCTTTTTTCTAGATCATCGTGTTCCCCATTTCTCTCATGTTCAGCTATACATTGGAAGACCTGTGTTTCTGATTTCACCTTTCTCATTTGCTTTAGAAAATCAAATTGCTGGATAGTAGCAGATAATGGTGGTGGTCCTTTTAAGGAAGCAGCCACTAATTAGCTGAAAGAGTCTACCATTTCAGCTTTTGTGAATTACAGTCATAAATTATCTTCTTTTCTGTAGGTGTTCAGAATTTGAACTAACCTACTTGCCAGTGAACTTTTGTAGTACAACACGTATTTAAGTTGGATGCCATATAAATGGCAGAATGTGATAGCAGGATTATTCAGATTTTGAATATATTCCAAAGAGTTGTATATAAATCACATTTGTATGCTATTTCTAATGTTTCATTGAAGCTGGCCATTAGAAGCAGTCTTGTGATGAAATATTTTATAAAGTAATCCTTTAGTAAAGTCAGTAAGCACCTTTATTTTTCAGTTTGCATTCCATAATTCTGTATTTTAGGTTTGCTTAAAAGATTTGTATAAACATGAAGCCATTTTAGTTCTATTAATTTTTAAATCTCCACAGTAACCTTGAAAGAGCCCTGCCTTTTCCTGTACATAACTGCAGCTGAACAGTCTTAATGGGTATAAGGTAAAACACTGGTCCAGATGGATTAATTATTTCCCTGGATGACTCACAAGGCCCTATAGCGAGGTCTTCTAGGTCATCTCTAGGTATGAATATTTGCCCCAGTCATTCAGAGGCCATGTATAATAAAATTCTAAGGTGTTCCATTTCTTCTGAATTGGCAGATACTTGGTGTTTAAGGGCGTAATGCACATAGCACTGCCCAGAATGTTTTGATCTAGTGGTAAGAATAAAAGCACGTTAAATATTTTAAAAGTTTATTTACTGATGGCACTGACATTTGCTCAGCAAACTTCAGTACTACTTCATTAAAAGATCTAAAATGACTGTGATTTCTAAAGTAATTGAAACTCTTTCCTTGAATGAGTCTGTGGTTGACAAATTAGGACAGATATATATTAGCAGAGATCTCTGACATCTCACTGCTTTTGAATGTAAAGGTTACAAAGAATTAAACTATTGCTTACAGTTTGATATGGTTTTTCAAAGTCATTTAATAAATTAATAGCTGGAAATCACTTTGTGATTAAATTAGAAAATGCATGAATGTAGTAGGCCATAAATTTTAGTTGTGAAAATAAAATGTCAAATATTAATAATGTGATATGGTTAGGTACTTACTGTACTACATTAATAGATAACCAAAGTCCCCATTTTGGATGTTCGGTTTTTCACTAAAGGTTATCTCAGCATGGACATCTTTCATATTCTTGAGACATCTTCATCCCAGTGTCCAAATTAAATTATCATGTATTTAGTGTTGAGGTGATTTAAAAAGCCCTATCAGCCCTAAGAAATTACAAAGTTTTCCTTACAGTTACCTATTGTCATAATAGTGATGAATCTGATGGCAGTGAACAGCAATAGCCTGAAGAAGTCTGGTACTTAATTAAAACTTACTTGCCTACACTCTTATTTCTTATAGACTAAACCTAATTTTTTCAAGTTCTGGTTATGAGTCTTTGCTAATTTGCATGGCTGGCTTAATTAATAAATTAAATATTGGTTTAGGCTGTGTTTATACAAGGTCAAAACAGCCAACAGAATTGCCTAATTCAGTAAGAAAAAAGTAGCCATTTCATGAAAAAAAATATTGAATTAGTTTGCCAACACATAAACAGAATCAATTTGAATGACTTGAATATTTAGATTTCCAGACAATTGTTTTGGCACTTGTAAACTCCATTGTTTCCCAGCTTCTTTCAGTCCGAGGCACACCTCTAAATTTGGTGGGTTTTAGCCCAAGGTAAGATGTTGAACTAGTCTTCCAAATGTGGATGTACCAGTCCAGCTGTATCTTCGTCCAGATACTTAGCGATGGTAGACTTCAGTGTATGTATTAATCAGCCTCCTTTCCTTGACTGTCTTCTCTCTTCAATTCCCAAAGCCCACAAAGGTGGTTGGGGGAAATTCAAGACTTTGCCCTCATGCCTATTTTCAAAGTTCCTGTGTGTCTCGATGCCCTGGTTGGGAAACAGTGGTATAAACACAGCCTTATTCCAACACCGAGTTATCAGTCCTTGAGTAATGATTAATAGCCAAGAAAATGAAAATGTATCTTTGTTACAGTATTTCATGGTACGAGAATAAATATATAAGGAATGCTTTGAATCACACTTTGTAGACATCTAAATTATGTTTTAAAAAACTGGCTTATAAGGGAAAAAAATGCTAACTCTAACATTTGGCAAATAGTATACTCTTTCTGCCTTTAAGAATAAACAGATTCTTAAAGACAGCAATTTAATATGTAATTCAGAATAAGACTCCAAAATTTGTACAGAAATTGTTTGGAAACATTGAGGAATCAAATGACTACATTTGGGTCCAAACTCTTGAAGTCAACTAGGATTTAATTTGCACAGTTTCATTTGCCAAATGTCTGTAGATTGGTCCAACTCTTGTTATCTATTTTGCCAAGTTTCCTTCTGCTGAAAATGTCTGTACTCTATTAGGCTTCTAAGTCAATGTCCATGGCCAAGTCCGGACCTCAGCAGCCCTTGGAAGCATGTGAGCAGGTCAAGACAGGTGCTTCCATTCATTTGATCTCTCCCCAACTATATTCTCTTTTCTGCCTAGTACATTTATGCATCTGTCTGAAACCTGCACACATGATAATTTTTAATCATTTTTCTAACCATATTTTCCCTGGGATTTAGGAATGACAGTCTCCGGGAGAGAGGACAGTGCATGACTTTTTTTCCCCCCTAATCTTACAAAATGTTGTTAGTTTTGAGTAGTCACTTAAAATAGGTTCTCACTTCAGTCTCTCTTTTTTTTTCTTTCTAAATAAAGCCTGAGAATTTGCTTTTAGCTAGCAAATCCAAGGGAGCAGCTGTGAAACTGGCAGACTTTGGCTTAGCCATAGAAGTTCAAGGAGACCAGCAGGCGTGGTTTGGTGAGTAGGGGTTCTTTCTCCTTTATGTTGCTCATTCTCTTCTGGCTCATCATAACCCACTTCCCAGCCAAAGTAAAACAGAAATATTCCTTCTAACAACAGCCTGACTTAAATGAAGACATTAGACCTTTATAAGCATTTCATTTTATTGACATCAGAAGGTATATAATCTAGAAATAATTTAAGAGAAAATATTAATAGGAGAGCAGTAATGTATAGACTTCTTAAAACATGAGTGAGAAAATGGATCCTTGTACTAAGAATTAATAAGGAAGGTTTGCATTATTTTAACCCATTGAGCCACCCAGGCGCCCCGGGAGGTTTGCATTGTTAAACGAGGACTTTTTGAGAGAAAATTGTTCACATAGAACCTTACTTGATGCCAAAAACTGCTGTGTAAATAGTAGGGACTCGGGAAATACAGAATATTTCCACATACTTTGTAGTTAGCAAATTAAAGTTTAAAAATATTATAGCCTATGTGTGTATATGTGTATGTTCATCTTAATTATCTTCTATTTCTTCACACTGCCAGTTTCTGCTGTAAAATTTTGATAATTTTGAAATTTCTTTTTGGTGAAATGTCTGTTTCTTTACAATTAAGAAAGAAATTAACTCTAAATTAGAGCATTTCTAACTAGGCTTGTGTATTGTTTCAGTATTTATCCTGTCGGCTTATTTTATTCACTGTTTCTTTTTTTATGCCTCTGTTTTTGCCATTTCCCAGTACTGACCCATTTTTTTTTTCATGTAATCTCCCAAAATATAACCTCTCCCCAAGCCTCTTTTTTTCTGACTTTCAGTGTATTGAGGTTAGATCATTTTTAAAATGCCCTTCACTTCTAATTGCTTTTCCTCTGAACAACAACAGCAAAGAGCACTCAAGAAGTGCTTACTTTTTTCATTTTATATGCAAAGACTTTTTGTGTTTTCCTAAATCTAAGGTGTGAACAGGGTCCCCAGGGTTCATCATTAATCTGTCCCAGCTAATAAGTGGGAATGGGTGGCAAGGCAGCCTTTCCTCTACAGGCAGCTTAATTTAGGACCTCATTTTTTGCTTCCCATCCTATTTCTGTAGTACCTGACTGTTACCCTTGTCCACGATTCCTCCTAAGCTTAATACCACTGTTTACATTAAGTCTCTCCTCACCTACCAAAAGAATTTACAGTCTTCAAACTTGGCATTTGGTTTGTCATATTTTGACATATGAATAAGCTTATTCCTCTTAAATGCAAACTGAAAGAAGGTAGGACCTAGAATAAGTACTGTAAATTGATTCAGAGTCATCTTTGTATACTGTATAAGGACACAGTTGACACAGATAAAGAATATATGGTAACTTGGAATTGAGGTCCAATAGAAAGTAGGAGGGCTGTCACAGAGGTGGGCAGAAAAATTAATGGGGATGCTTAAATTAAGCAAGAGGTCATACCCCTCAAGATATTGAAACTTCTGTATCAGTAACTGTTTCCCATGGAGTGTAAGAGCATTTAATAGGGCATGCAGGAAGGTGCCCTGGAGCATAAGAGAAAGGTGAAATTCTGCGTCTGGGGAACATTTTGGTGATTGGGGTAGAGCTTCTGCTTCCCTAGTGGGTGAATGAGAATTTGTTGACTAATGTGCAAGGAGATGAAGGCCAGACTGAGGGATCAGCACATGCAAAAATCTCCGAGGCATGAAACTACTGTTTCTATTTATGGAATAGCAAGAAGTTTGATATAGCTAAAGTATAAAGTATACTGGGATGAGTGGTAGTTAATTAGGTGGGAAAGGATTTTATGTGCTTTTGAAGGATTTGGCTTTTATCCTGGAAGTTTCAAAAACCCAGTGAAAAATTTTCAGTAGGGAAGGACATCATGGGGTTTATGTTATATAATGATGTTGTAGGTAACAATGCAGAGGGTGGCTTAAGGATACTTACTCTGAAAGCAGGGGACCAGGTAGGCTAATACAGGAGTTCAAATTATGTATGATGACAGCTTGAACTAAGGAGTATGCAAGAGCAAGCAAATTCCAGATAATATACAGAACAGTCGGTGACTCTAAACTCTAAGGAAGTCTGTTTAGAGGAAATTAATGCTCTAGAGTTTGGACTCTAATCCCATCTAGTCCCATTTGCTTCACAAGACTCAGGGTATGAAGCAGGACACCAAAACAGAGACATAGGCTAGGGATGTAATTGCCAGAACTGGGTAGAAGGTGATGATAGGATATTAGGAACAAGACAAGACTCATTATCAGAGCCAAGCTACAAATTAACATCAGTAACTTGGCTTAGTGCATAAAAGAGTGATGTAATTGACCACCTTAAATCTCCCTTGTTTTTGAGCTCTGTGTTTTATCTCCTGTGCTAGATCACAAGCTGCTTGATGGTAGGATTTTGTACAGTAGAAAAAAATTCTGGTTTTTGAATTAGAATACCCAAGCTTATGTCCTGGGTCTGATTCTTAATAATAATCATAGTAATGATATTGGGCAAGTCATTTTAACTCTGTGAGGTCCATGTCTTCTTTGTAAGCAGTGATAATAAACATTTCTTTGCAAGGCTGTTACAAGTCCATAGGAATATGCCTGGGCTTTGAAAGGCATTGAATAAGTTTTCAAAACCACCTAGGCATGAAACACAATGCCACAGTTCTCTGCCTCTTCAGTGAAAGTTGTTGAGCAAATCGATGAGTGAAAAACCAATTATCAAGTTAGTGAAAGCAATAGCATCCAAATGAAAGTAAACAAATTTCAAATTGTGATCATTTATGTTTGAAAGTGATCTGATTCCAGAGAAAGAAAGACAGATTGGGAATAAAATCCCCATTTCTTCTTCAGTATGATACTATGACTGTTGTTTTTGCTAAGATACCTATTAGAATAACAACTTTTAAGAGGTGATTTTTAAAAAGTGCTCAACATCACTCAGCATCAGGGAAATACAAATCAAAACAACAATGAGATACTACCTCACACCAATCAGAATGGCTAATATTAACAAGTCAGGAAACCACAGATGTTCGAGAGGATGCGGAGAAAGGGGAACCCTCCTACGCTGTTGGTGGGAATGCAAGCTGGTGCAACAACTCTGGAAAACAGCATGGAGGTTCCTCAAAAAGTTGAGAATAGAGCTACCCTACGACCCATCAGTTGCATTACTGGGTATTTACCCTAAAGATACAAATGTAGTGGTCCGAAGGGACATGTGTACCCGAGTGTTTATAGCAGCAATGTCCACAATAGCCAAACTATGGAAAGAACCTAGATGTCCATCAACAGAAGAATGGATAAAGAAGATGTAGTGTATGTATATATATATATATATATATAATGGAATACTATGCAGCCATCAAAAGAAATGAAATCTTGCCACTTGCCACGACATGGATGGAACTAGAGGGTATTATGCTGAGCGAAGTAAGTCAATCAGAGAAAGACAATTATCATATAATCTCTGTCATATGAGGAATTTGAGAAACAGGGTGGGCAGTTTGGGGGTAGGGAAGGAAAAAATGGAACAAGATGGGATCAGGAGGGAGACAAACCGTAAGAGACCTTTAATCTCATAAAACAAACTGAGGGTTTCTGGGGGAGGGGGAGTATGGAGAGGGTGGTTGGGTTATGAACATTGGGGAGGGTATGTGCTATGGTGAGTGCTGTGAAATGTGTAAGCCTGACAATTCACAGACCTGTACCCCTAGGGCAAATAATACATTATATGTTAATAGAAACTAATTTTAAAAAAAGAGGTGGGGCACCTGGGTGGCTCAGTGGGTTAAAGCCTCTGCCTTCAGCTCAGGTCGTGATCCCAGGGTCCTGGGATCAGGCCCCACATTGGGCTCTCTGCTCAGCAGGGAGCCTGCTTCCTCCTCTCTCTCTGCCTGCCTCTCTGCCTACTTGTGATCTCTTGTCTGTTAAATAAATAAATAAGATATTTAAAAATAAAAAAATTTAAAAAAATTTTAAAAAGAGGTGCATTTTAAGTCCCAAGAAAATTCCGCATTTCAAGAAATGTAGAAAAAACGTTGTTTATAAGCTTAAGAGAATGCGCAAATTTTTTTTATTTTTTTTTCTTTAGCTTATTTTCATGTTATTCTATGCAAGTGAATCCTCATGGTAACCAACTTCAGGAAAAGGAAGCATGTGATATACTATATATATTTTGGCTGTAGTACCAGACATATCATAGATTTTTAAAGTAAAAGCATGTTTTAGTATGAATGACTTGATATGATATTTATTCGATATCATCTATCATCATAGTCTCATGTATTTGATTATTTTTTATCTAAATTAAAGTTAGTTAACATATAATGTATTACTAGTTTCAAAGGTAGAATGTAGTGATTCATCAGTTGCATGTAAAACCCAGTGCTCATTACATCACGTTCCCTCTTTAATGCCCATCATCTTGACTGATTAATTTTGTCTTTTAAAATGTATTATCAGTGATGGGGAGGGAAACCTTTTTATTTTTTTAAAGTAACTTAATTTAATGTTAAGAGAAGAGCAGAACTCTTTCATTATATGTAATGCCAGAATTTCAGGCTTTTGCTCAATTTTATTTTATTTTAATTTATTTATTTTAAAGATTTTATTTATTTATTCAACAGAGAGAGAGATCACAAGTAGACAGAGAGGCAGACAGAGAGAGGGGGGGAAGCAGTCTCCCCGCTAAGCAGAAAGCCTGATGCGGGGCTCAATCCCAGGACCCTGAGATTATGACCTGAGCCAGTTTTATTTCAATACATATAAGAGGTCTACTACAAATGAGAAAAATAAAACTACACAAGGCTTATAGCAGCTATTTATTGTTTTTTTTTCTCATTTTTAAGCCTAAATCTTTCTTTTTCTCATGATAATTTCTTTTGTCTTCCTAGCCCTGATCTATTTGATTACTAGCCAGAAATGCTAGGAGTTAACACCCTGTGTCACTACACTTGTTAAGATGGCTAGAAAATTTACCAAAGAGAAATATCCAAATACAGCCCATTTTTCCTGGGATTAGAAGTGGTGTTTGCAGTATATTTCTAGTTATTTGTTGCTACTAGGAAAAAAGGGTAACTACCACCATCTTCCTTCATGGAATAATTGTTTTGCTTGATTACTATTATGTCTCTTTTTAAAGTTTGAGTTTTCTTAAGGCAGTGGATACATTGCCAACAGTAAGTATGTTTTGTTTTTGGTCTGCTCTGATATTCCTATTGGTTTTTCAGAGTGAGAAACACATATTATCTGTAAAGAAGGTAAGCTCTCATTAATTTCCCTGTTAATAGCATTTATCATGATAAATGAGATTCTTATGAGTTTAATCTCCTGCTAGAAAAGACTTTCTCTGTCTTACCCTCAGTATTTTGGTGTTCGTGAGAACACATTGTACAGTACACAGTTCATTAATGTTTATCCATTTAGAGTATACCTCAGTACTCTTAGGAGTAAGGACCCCACTGACTGTTCAAATGATAATTACATTAAATAAGAATGAACATTGTGGTATTCTGTTAGCATTTTAGTCTCCAGAGAAGGTTTGTAATAATTTAAGTTTAAAATTATCTTTTCATTTCTTAATCACACAGTGGCTTCTTTTCTCTCTAGATGAAATATCATTAACATCCCCCCCCCCCCCCGCCAGGAAATGTATTCTACTAAGATATTTAAGATGTATATTAAGGTTTACTAATTCTAGAAAGGAGATTATAGATTGTATATGAAAAGGTGGTAAAAATTCAGAGTAAGGAAGGACCACTGAGAATTGTAGTTAGCTAAGGAGATCTCTAAATGGAAATAATTTAGAGCCCACTCTGTTAAAGAAAAGGTAGAGATAGAAATTGAGGATTCAAGGAACAGAAAAAGTAACATCAAGTGTAAGAATGAACAGTCTGTTTTTAAGAGACCTTAAATAGATTAATCAGGTCAAATTCTCAGGACTAGAAAGAAATCATGCTGAATGACTGAAGGGGAAACCAGGAAATAAAGGGTCTTAAAGTGTAGGCTAGAAACATGGTCTTTAATCTGGAGTTTGGCATTGGTGTCTCATTGAGTTCCTTTGTCTGTGTCTCAACCTGGGAGGAGTTGGAAAGGGACTGTTGGAATGAGAGCAGGTGTGGCATACCAGTAGCTATTTAGAACTCTCATGCCCATCCTTACCTTGGAATTAGCTGACTTCACATCGCTCCTTGATGTCATCCTCAAAGTTTAGGTAATGGAACCACCATGATTATTAGGAATTCTTTCACCTCACAACTGTCAAGTAAATGCTTTCTTTAAGTAAGGTTTGAGAATAGGGGTAGATCCACTATGGTCCATGTGAAGCTTAAACTACAATACAGGCATCTTTTCTTGGGGTCCCTTCTTACTGTCCACTCCATCTTCCGCTATAACAAAGGAAAGGAATAAAAGGTTAAAATCCACAGTCCTTTGCCTTACTTTCCAAGGTAATTTTGTTCAGAGGAATAACCATGCTATTTTTTCTATCTATCTATCTGTCTCTCTATATATACATACATACTTATTTTTATATCTGTCTGCACATTGTACTTAATAAGTTTGAAAATGGGAAGAAAAGGCTCCTTTCTTGGGCACTTTGAATCCCAGTAAATATAAAATGAGCTTCTTCAGTGATTTGTGGTCGGAGGAATTCCTGATTACATATCCTTGTAAAGAAATGTTTCCAGGTTTTAGGTGTGCCTTTAAATAAAACTTCCAGGTGGTTATTTCGGGTCTTTTTAAAAGTACCTATATTTTTTTGAAAGCTATTATTTTCAGAAATAAGGAAAATGTCACTCTAGGTTCTAGCTCTAAATTGATTGTTATTTAAGCATACCTTATTGGAATTTATACTGATTTATACAATAATGAAACCTTATTTTGCCATTTAGTTTCTCCTACCACATCTCTCTCTCTAAATTCTAGTTGGTACTTGTTCAGTAGTGATTCATCCACATGTTCCTGAGTCTTCTCTTTAGTTGACAGTGATAATAAGTACACACTATTTATTAGTACAAAGAGATCTCTTTGATATATTTAGGACTTATTTCTTCTTCTGGTGAATTCTTCGGTTACTCTCAGCCCCATCCCCACCACATAGACTACCTGACTTTCAAAAATACTTACTTAGGATCTATCTTTTTTGTTCTTTTGTAGGTGAATGCTTCTCATAAAAAATTATGTCGGTATCATGAAAACTATCATCTCTTGCAGAGTTCTAATCCTGTCTTCAAATTTCTCCCTATTTCTTGTCAGGTATAAGGGAGGAAGGACTTTTTCTCTCCCCTCTTAGGTCTGTGGCTCAGGGTTGTGAGTCTAACTGACAAAAGACTGATGAACAGGAGAAAAGCATACAATTTTTTTGATGTTAATATTTTAACTTTTACGTACACACAGAGGCCTTTCTAGAAAATAAATGAAGACCTTAAAGGCCAGACCAAGGGACATATATCCCATTTTAATGAAGAGTGATAAATTGTGGAGATTGGTTAAGACTAAGGAAAAGGGGGTTTTGACTCGGGATATTAAATTGTGGGGGAAATAATGAGGAAACACATAGGGAAACTAATGGAAGATCAAGGTTATTTTGGTAAGGTTGGTTTGTACATATCCATCTTGGAACCAACTCCCATCCCAGGAATGTTCTCCTCTTCCTGTACAGGGAGGGCACCTTTCCACAAGAAATGCATGCCCTACTTTTAGGTAGAAAGGAGATTAAAAAGCCTGTCATACATCTACTGATTCTCAGTTGACTACAGCTAAAAATAATCAGTATACCACAGTCGTGTATTTTGGGGTGGTGTGTTCTGATCCCCTTCACAGGTTTAGTTTCAAATCTTGAATAAATAAGTGAGAATAAGAATTGCTAACCAAATAGACTTAAGTATACGTGCTGACTATATAGCACAATAGAGTAGCCTTCCCCTTATCTGGGGAAAAAATGCCTTTTTTTTTTCCTAATATGCTACAAAGCAGATTAGTGTTGATACTGCTATAGAGAGAAACTATTGTATATTATTTTAGGCCTCATTTTATTTTGTCAAACAAATCATCCTATTTAAAAGTCCCAAAAATGTTTTCTTCCTTAGTTTCCCGTTTCACATTGGTTTTGTCCAGTCAGCTTTGACTCATTAACTTCCGTTTTCCCTAGGTTTTGCTGGCACACCTGGATATCTTTCTCCAGAAGTTTTACGTAAAGATCCTTATGGAAAGCCAGTGGATATGTGGGCATGCGGTAAGGAATCATATTTCCATGCAAATTTTGCAATAACCAGTATAGTTGCAAAGAGTATTTTTCAAATATGAAGTTAATGCTCTCTTGTGACCAACTTAGAGCAGTAGTACTCAAACCTCAGCCTACAACAAGTCACAGTGGAGGGCTGGCTAAAGCACAGATTACTACTTTGGACTGAGTAGGTCTAGGGTAGGAGCATCTGTGTTTTTTCTCAAGTTCCCAGACAATATTAGTGCTTCCAGGGTGAGGGACTACTTTGAGACCAGGGACACAGAGCGTCCCCAGGGGCGGCTGTGCATTTACGCTGCCATTGTCCCACCTCATTCAAGCAGCCCTTACCACAAATGCCATGTTTGTACTACATGTTTGGCAGGAAGTAAGAGAAAAAAGTGGATCTTGGAAAAGAATGACACTGGTCTGTCCTATGGACTGAACTCTGATTTAGGCCTTTAGCAACCAACTCCAATCAAATAAGTATCCTGTGCAGGTTCCAAGACATAATAATGTGGAGGATTCCCACCACAGTTTTTCAACGAAATTGCTGTGGGTTAATATATACAGCAAATAGGTGAAAAACTGAAATAAAAGGGATACTATAGGATGCTCTGAAAGATTTTTCAACTGGGATTATTGACACAAACTAGTCCTCTAGGTTCCTGACACTGTATCATCACTATAAGTCTGTAAATAGTTTTGGTTTTAATGTGCTGCAGACAGACCTTGTTGCCTTTGGTGTCTGTCAGTAAGCCTGTAATGAGTTGGTTTCACAAAGAAAAGGAAAGAAAAGACTTTGATTCTGAAAGTAACTTTTTAGATTTGGTTTTACTGAAAAAATAATAATAAATTCATTACCTCTACTTCATAGTGATGGGTTATCCCTAACCTATATCTAACCACCCTGTATTTCTTGTCAGCTTTATCTTATTAGCAATCTTAAACTGGATGCATGTTGGGCCTCTAAGGCTTACCTCCGTGCCTAGGAAAGCAGTTATGGGAGGAGTCACAACACCTGCATTCAAGTCTTTGCTTTATACCTACAAACCCTATCTCTAGTATCTTAGAGTTGGTTTCTTCACTTGTAAAACAGGAAAATATTACCCTCATAGGGATTGATTGTATGGGGTTCAAAGACATTTTATAGTTTGTAAAGAAATTTAAAATGCCAACAGCTATTACTCTAAAACTTTGGATAAATTAAAGGGTAAGGTTGTAGGTGTGCCCCAAGCTCTGACTTCCTCTTCCCTATCTGAGATCTTCTAAGCATGAACTCTATGCCTTTGGGTTAGAGCACTGTCACAGAATGTCCTTGCTCCAATCTAAATGCTAATGGCAAATAACTCACATGTTTCCCTTGCAGCAGATCAGATCTCATCACAGATCTGTCTTTGCTGATGAATCTGAAAAGCAGCAAAGAGCATGCTGAGAGGCAGGCAGACACAGATGGGTTTTCCAGAGGATACATACAGCTGAGGGCAGTGTAGCTGGTGTGCTGTGCTCAGACCCTGAACACTAGTGGGTTCGTGTGGTAGAGACTGGTCAGTAGCTGAGGCAGGCCACTCAAGAGGCTTTCCTTGCTGCCTTCATCGAAGGTCACCTCTAGCCTCCTCCTATCTCCCTTTTTCTTTATCCCTTCTTCTTTTCCTCTTTCTCCTCCTCCTGCCCACCTGCTTCAGGGGCAGGAGGCGGTATGTGCAGGGGTTGAGAACCCTCACCCAGCTCTTCAGTGCTCTTGCTGTAGGACCTGGCACCAATTTTAAGTAGGCCTGGTATCTCAGCTTCCTTGTGGGAAATGGAAAGTAAGAAAGTATTTCTTTAAAAATGAAGTTCCTAGATAACTGATATGTAGCCATGTGAGAGATACACATTTTATTAGATGATCCAGCATTATTGTTTGGATCATCAGTTGAATATTAGAACTTTACCTGGTTACCTGAATACCAACTGTCTGCCTCTCTCATTGCTTTCTTCTCGTGTCAGTTCTTCTCTTGCATGCCTTTGATTCTCCAAATGTGTTATTGTGGACCAGTTTCACAGCTCCTGAATCATATTTCATTCATTCAGATACTCCAAATAAACCATTCATTTAATTCTTTCATTAGAAACATTTTTTCATAATATATCAATTTTATTGGTACTGAAGAATAACAGATTATTTAAAAGAAACCCCCCAAAACTGGTATTTTGTATTAGGGTTTCTTCTGTGGAGCAGAATCAGTTATATATACATATAAAAATGTCCAGCCCCTGCATGGGCTCTCTGCTTTAGTGAGTCTGAGCTGAGTACAGGCAGTTGCATTTTTAAAAACTGACATATCATCAGAGTTTCAACTCACTGCCTTAGACTCATTAAACACACTATGCTCAATTTTGTATTACTTTGGTAAATTTGAGTATACTGGCTTTTGGATTTTTTGTTTGAGTGAATTGTTTGTATAGCTAACATTTTAAAATAATGGTATATTTTATAAGAGGATTTCACATCTGTAAAATGTGAGGTAACTTATAGGGTAGAAGCTCTAACTCTCTTGGCTGGAAGAGGGAAAAAAGATGGGCAAAGAGTTTCTTCCCTCCTTATTGTCTAAGCTGTAGAACATTCTTAAGAACTGTGAGGAAATAGTAGATAGCACATGTATACCCCCAGGCACATGTGCAAACACATACAGGTCTCATGATGACTCTAGAAACTTAGAGCCATAGGGCATCTCCTGTATTTCAACCTCAGTTTTGCCATGGGAAGAGCCACCTTTCACTTTGCTCAGTTCTTTTTTTTCCCCAAAAAAATTTTATTTATTTATTTCAGAGAGAGAGAGGGAAAGAGACAGAGAGCAGGGATAGAGGCAGAGGGAGAGGGAAAATCTCAAGCAGACTCTGCATTGAGCCTGATGTGGGGCTCACAACCCTGAGATCATGACTGGAACCAAAGCCAAGAGTTGGATGCTTAACTGACAGTCACTCAGAATCCCCTCACTTTGCTCAGTTCTATTCTTACCTTTGCTTTCTTCCCAAAATTTTCTACAAACAGCCAACTCCCTTTGTGACAAACCATGCTCCATTTAGAGTATATATTTCCTAACAGTTCTCATTTTCCTTAGAGATTGTGACTTTTTAAAAATTGTGTGCCTTGAAATGCATTTGGGAACACACAGGTAACTACAGAAATGCCTTAGATATTCCAATGTCACATATTTGGGGGAAATGGTCTGCCTTCCATGAACATCATAATAGAGTCTTCTACTTTTTGTTACATTCCTGGATCACTGCAGTGGGTTTGGAATATTGTTTTACCATTTTATTGTATTTACATTAAATTCTCTTTATTTCTAAGACAATCCACCCTTCTTCACAGAACCACCAAGGTAATGTACACATCATTAGATTGTTTTAAGTAATGGCACATCTTGAGAGAAACTCTTTTTTGGCCATTCATCAGCACCAGCTCTTGCCTACTGAATACTTCTTTTCAAGTCTAGACATTGGGTAGTGTGATAGGAAATGACACTGCCCAGATAACAAAAGAAATGCAGAATAAGACACTTAGCAGAATGGCAGCTCATCTTCTGTGAATTAAGCTGTGAACGCTCACCACAGCAGATTGTCTTTTTAGCAGTTGACATAGAGCAGAGTGAAGCACACTGTTGGTATAATGGCTAAAAGAAGTCTGTACATTATCTTTATTAGAAATATGCAAGTATTGGTACCTAAGAAATTCCAAATACTTTACCAACATTACCTTGCTTTTGAGACCTAACATGAATGTAATCTGACCTGTACTCAGTCTTTAAAAGCAAGTAGGCCAAATAATAGACATTGATGAAGCAAGAACATATCTGTGTGTTGTACCATTAACAACAGTAAATTTATTTTGATGGCTTTCTTGCATATTTAGCTGTTTCCATTATTCCCCAGTGGAATGAGCAAATGTTCTTTATAGATGTCACTGAATCACTGGATTTTAACAAAACTTTCTTCTACACCTTAGCTCAAAAAATAATAAATGTAAGCCCACATAAACATAGCCAACACACACACACACACACACACACACACACTCACCTTTGTCTTAACTATGTCTCTCTCTGAATTAGATATCACTTAGAACAGTTATGAGTGATAATGTGTTAGTAACTATCACAGAACGATCATGACTTTTCATGAATCTTAAATAAGATTCTCTATGGTGATGCCAAAGAATTTCCATTTGATCAGGCTTGCTAGGTAATCCTCATGCACACCAACATTGAACAGCATTACCCTAACTAGTTGCAGATTTCTTTAGGACAGCATATTTTAGGATTCTTGCACAATATAGCAGAGGTAGCAAACAGGTGATTTACAGATAGGTTGGCAAGACTAGTGGGCCTTTCACTTTGGGAAGTGTTGACATTTATTATTTAAATTTATAATTTATTATCAGGAGATTTTTTGTAAAACTACCAGTTTCTGGCTTCTCTAAAGTAATCAAAAGAACTAATAACAAAGTGCTTTTGTCCTTAAATAGCAGCTATACCTGTCAGATAATAGACACGTGCTCTCCCCTGGCTACCAGTGCCCCTCGCCCCCATACACAGTGCAGGCTCAGGCATTCATTTCTGTCTGATGCTGAAAGAAATGTCAGTTTGCCACACCTATTAAATGGCATAGTTTCCATCATCTGGAAAATAACTTTCTATCTTACTGACATTGATCGTCTAGATCTTTCTTCTACTGATCATTGGCCTTGTAGGTCAGAGTTAATTAAACATTTCCTATTTGAATTGTATGATTTTTTTTGCATAAGGTATTACACTATAAAAGAGACCCATACTTATTCCTCATATAGTTAATTATGCATTTCCAAACTCCACTCATAGTATGCCCTTTATTGACTGAGAGCATTAAGTGGGTATCTTGTTAGATTGTTCCATTAACTTCCCACGGAACTCTGAGTTTCTCAACATTGCTTCTTTCTTTCTCCTTTCATCAGAGCAGTCATTAAAATGCTTTAATCATTAATGTGATTA